ATCTCGTGCTCCTCCAGGTGGTCGTAGAGGTCACGGTGGTAGTCGTGAAGGAGCCGTGAGAGCTGGTACATCTGGATCTGCAGGGTGAGACGTGTGTGGTGCTGAGAATCAGGCATCTGCTATGCAGACAAGCTCACCCACCCCATGGCAAAGTCTACAAGAATTACTAGCACTTGAAAGCTTCTATGCAGCTCAAGGTGCCCACTGGTCTTGGCTACTAATCCGCCCAACACGGGCTTCCTGGGAGGCTACTGCATACCAGGCTCTGGTTGGCCCAGAGTGCTAATGCTGGTCTCTGCCTCTTCCTTTTTACTCTTCGTGCACAGCCTGGCGAGGAGAATCTACACATCTGCCTGCGTAAAGCACTTCCCAAATTTGTAAGGTATGCATTCTTAGAAAAATTCAAATCCCAGGGACTTAGAAATAAAAAGCCAGCCCCTCTGTCAAGAGTAAACTAAGGGCACATCATGATTTCAGAGGAGGGCCACTGCCCACTATCACTTAGTCCCCTCTGGACTCCTAGCACTATGCAAAAGCCAGAACAACTGTAATTTTTTAGATTTATAAAATATGAAGTACATAGATCCTGGGCAAGTTAAACAAGAAGAGTCTGCCTTAAGGTGAATAAAATAACTTTTTTTAACTAAAATTGGACTCCGATGTTAGTGGTTCTCCCTTCAAGGATCAATGTGGCAAGTCATTCCAGTGTCTGGTGGCCCCATGACTTACAGAGGGTCAAAGGCCACGCCAGCTCTGAGCCCCAGTCTGGGCCTAAATAAATAAGCTAGTGAGGGTCAGTGTCTCACAAGATGCGCTGCGGCATGCGTGTACTACATATGACAGCACAATACACTCTTGTGAAGTACTAGTTGTGGCTCTTCTGTATTTAAAAAGCTTGATCAAGGCTACCAGTTGAAAAAGACGTGTTATGCCAAATTATATACAATTAAAAAAAAAAAAAAACTTCTCTCTGCTAACAGCTCCTGGAAGGACAGTGGGAGGAATGTAGGGAGAACCAGACAGTATGTGTGGACAGTGCTGTGTGGGTCAAATCTTTCAGTGAGGAAAACAGTTCCCTCTTATGAGATTTATGCTCACGTAGTTCATATTTACAAGTCCAAGCAAAGGGGTCAGGTACCGGAAACTCAACTCAGGTCCTCATATGAACTATACTCTCAGTCCTTTTATATAATTTTTTATTTTGAGAGGTCTCATTAGGTCGCTAAGTTGCCCAGGTTGGGCTCTAACTTAAGATCTCCTGCTCAGGGAATGTGCCACCATGCCCAGCCTGGCAAAGGGCACAACTTGGTGACCTCAAACTCCTTCTTCTAAAGATGCTTTCCAAGACTTCAAAGTCACAGACTCCTGCCAGGAAAGGAAGAAGTAATTATGCTTTAAGCACCACCTGGCACACTCCCGGAGCAGGACCAGAGCTCGCCCGCCTCTCAGGCGGCAGGTCCAGCACCTGGCATGCAGAATGAGTATGCTGTGCTTGGTTTCCTGACAGACTAGTTTGGTGATGGTGAGCCTTCTAGTGCCTTCAGTAATAGCAAACAGCCCGTTGTGACACACGTGCCACAGGTTTGCCACCACCAGATTACTTTATTAACAAATATTGACCTGTGCTAGGTCTATAAAGGCACTGTATGGAAACCAGAGAAATAGCTCTAGGCCAAGATCCCTCCACAACAAATGTGGTTACCAAAGAAACAAGACAGGACAACGTGACATCGTGTGCTTAGGGCAGAAGTGGGGGGACTGAGTGTCAGAGTGTGGTCACCTCTCCCTGGATGTGATATGAGCGGAACCTTGGACCATGGAGTGAGGGGAGTGCGAAGGCCTGGTCAGAGAGGGCTGAGGTGCCCAGGCTGAAAGGCAGGGCTGCAGGCCAGCACAGAGGGCAGGCCTCGGGGTGCGGCAGGCCTGGGGTTAAGCTCAGCTCAGCCCTGGCACTTGCTGGCTGTGTAACCAGGCCCTGTTATATGACTACTTTGGGCCTCCGTTTTCCTATCTACAAATGAGCTGGTTAACAGTGTCTTCCTGTGTGTTATTATGTAAGTGCATATAAAGCACATGGAACAATGCTGCACAGAGTAAGCAACAACAGCTGCTATAATGCTAACTGATGGCCACAAAACCCTCCTTTTGGGCCAGGGAAATAGCTCAGTAGAATAAGTGCTTGCCTGGTAAGCACAAGGTCCTGAGCTCAATCCCTGGTACCGCAAAAAAACCAAAAAAAAACTCTTCCTTTTCTGTACTTGATGGGGGCTAACACACATTTTTAGCTCTTATTTTTATAATGACATAAGGAACACATTATACCTGCAAAATAATCATGTCTGGCCGATACTGTTTCCGCAGTCCCATGTCAAACATAAGAAACTTGAGCATTTTAAATGCCTCTTCTTCACTCATATGAAGTAGCAGGATGCCCGCTACAAAGCTGAGGCCTTGGCAATATCCTACTTCCTGGTCGAGGAGTGAGTAGGCCTTCAGAATGTTGTAAAGGGACAGCTGCCCTGCTCCCAGCTGCGCAGAGAAGTAAGGGTGCGTAGGAAAGGTTCGTCCTGGAAAGAGAACACGGGAAGGTGTAAGAAAAAAAAGCCCACTGAACCAGAAATGCACTGTGCTTCAGGTTAAAACTGCTAGTTCCTTAACACTAACTCTGGTCTCTAAACAAGAGTAGCTGGTCCCTCCTGGAATGTTGGAATTTGAAATTTGCAATTAATTACTCTGTCTTTTGAGGGTGATTCAGGTGAAAGAAATCACAACTACCATGGAAGTGTGGACTTCACTGTAAGACAGAAGCAGAACTACTGAGCCCCTCATCCAGGCTCTGTTCTCAAGAAGAATGAAACAGCTGTGGTTTCCTGTACTCTGCCTTCTCCTGCCAATGCTGCTGAAGGCCTGGCTTGCTCTACACCCTCTCAGTCTACTTCTCCAGACCACACAGATCCTGCCAGCAACTCTTCTCTTCAATGTCTGTACCCTGAAGCCTTAGACGGTGTTCTCACAGGCTAAGGGGCAGCAAGCATTTTCTTTTATACAACCCAGTCATCTTCCAGAAAGCTTAAAAGATTCCCTGATCATTTTCATACAATACTGGTATTCAAATAAAACTTGAAGACTTTTCTTTTTGGGTCAAGGGACTTTTGTGGCTGATACCTGTTTAGGACAGTAGGTGCAACCAAACTGTAATTTGAGCTATAACTACAACTAGATTTCTTAGAACCACATGAAAAAGTTACAGGTAAAATTAATTTTAATGATTTTGTTTAGCTCATACAAGCTTTATAAACATGAGATTAATATAAAAATTGAGTTGCTTTGCTTTTTGGCAAGTAAGCCCTTAAAATCTATGTATTCTTTATACTGAGACTACACCTCCATTTGAACCACTGTATTTTAAGAACAAGGGTATCGCTCCCTCCAATTCTCAAAGCTCCTAGAGTCCCTTCCACTACACTACCCCGTAGTTCCCAGGCTGACAGAGTCCTCCCTGCCCTTGGCCAGAAGGCAGGCCCTTCTCCTTAGGTCTCAAACTCAAGTAGGAGGGAGAAGCCATGGGAGTGATATGACACAGGAGAATGCCAGGAAAGGGCCCAATGTTTGGGTTTGTGATTTCAAATTTAAGCAGCCAATGTGATCTTTTGCACTGCACCCCCTTGGGGTAGACAGCACCTCTTAGAGGAGCAGAGCTCATGCCAACAGGCCCTGCTGCAAGAGCTACCTTCCTCTCTTAACCCTCCTGGCATGGCCAGGCCAGCTGGGGAGGACACCGTGCTGATCTGGCTTCACGGGTGTGTGTCCTGAGAGTCAGGCTGGTGCTGTGTCAGGAAGGACCTCATGAAGCGTTTAACACCCTGCTGCCACTGCCTTGGAACCCCTAATTTTTGAACAAAGGAGTCTGCACTTTCATTTCACAATAGGCCCGGCAAATGAGACCCCCTACCTGGGAGAGGAAGCCTGCTAAGCTGTCCACAGAGGAGCTCTAGCGACCTTCCCAGAGTCTTGCTCCCAGGGCCATAGCACATGAAAACAAAGCAAACCTTAGGCCAAATTCTGCCAAACACAGGACTTCTATTATTCACAAGCTAATGGGGCAGAGTCACGCAGAGTTTCTTGTGAGCTCTGTCCTCAGCCTCTGACAATCATTTCTTGGGAAGGGTTCAGCTGGATGAGGACACTGTGCAGTCTGACAGCCAGGCCATCCATGGTCTAGTCACCTTGATGCTAAACAGAGCATGGGGTCATGAGACTGATGGGCACTGGCCACACATTCTGCTCCAGTCACCAGGGCAGGCATGGATGCCTATACCAACTACAGATCTTAAAGATACATTTCACTGATAAAGGCTTGCCTTTAGAATCATTTATAAAAAGGCCAACCCCCTGAGGGGCATTTCATTGGTATTTCTAGCACCATCTATGGTAGCTACCAGCTCTGAATAAAAATTAGTTCTCTCAACCTTGGCTTTCTCTCCTTTAAAATGGGAGGAAGGCCTGCCCGGCAGAACTGGGAGAGCACGGGCTATGTCTGACGTAAGTGGCTGCTCTGAAGGAGCTCAGTCATGCACCTGCAGCTATACCAGACACTCTCAGCTCCAACCAGGACAGAGAAAGAGGGGCCTGCATCCGACAGTTCTGCAAGGCCAATGCAAAATGGCTTATATTTAACATAAAAGGGCAACGTTACACTACTATCATGTTCCACAGAACCTGAAGATCTTGCTACTAATAGACTTCCAGGGGGTAAAGGGAAGTTTCCCCCAGCAACTGATTTTTCACAAAACTGAGAATTCACAAACATGTAGAATTGAAAGCTGATACAAATTCCTAATCAGCATCATCACCACCACTCCTTTTAGGTTCACTAAATACCAGTGAACCCCAAGCTCTCTCATCTGGAGTTCCCACTCAAAATGGCAAGTCGTCCCTGTCATGGAGCTGCAGAAATGATAACTGATTTTACTTTTGCCAGAAACCTGTCCTGCACAAGCCTGGCCAAGTTGAAACAGATCTGTCAGTATGCTCCTTGGAGATTTCCAAATGCAATGTCGTGTTCCACACAGGGCAGAACTTGGCTCAGGAAGACAGGGACCCCAGTCCACACTGGGCGGGGAGGAGCCCAGGCGTCTGGCCTTCAGCTCCTGACTGGTGGGAGAACAAATGGCACCGGTCTGACTTTGTCACTCAGTCCCTGCTGCACCATGCATTTTATTCTGGTCTTTTCTTTTAGGTCAGCCATTGTCAACAGTGGTCAGTCTTAGAACCTGGGAGAGATCTCAAGGCCTTTTCAGGGGCCTATAAAGCCCCTTCCCCCCTCAACTATAGATCTGTACAGACTCAGCTCTTAACCTTCTTTGTCACATAAATAACCAAACAGAATGAATGAACCCAAAATAATCCAGGTGATTCTATTAAATCACATATTACATTAAACAGTCTTTAAATGTCACTTTTCTCTTTTATTTGAAATTAGTCATCTTTAATACTGGTTTATCTCAATAAGTTTATTACAGTTTTTCTAAACAAGTGTGTTTTTAAATTGTCAGCTTGGACCTGGGATATAGCTCAGTGGCACAAATACCTGCCTGGTAAGCGCAAGGTCCTAAGTTTGTCTGGATTCCCAGTGCCAAATAAATAAATAAATAAATAGTCAGCTTTATTTTCTAAGGTGGTAAATAACAGTAGCAACTATCAGTGTAAGTAAAACCTTGTTGAGTCACTCTACAACTTTAAGGATGAAAGAGACCCTGAGGTCAGACCTGGGCAAACACTGTAACTTACCCAGTTCCCTGACTATACACCAGGTAAAGAGGAAGTGGCAGGTGCCTTGGGAAGAGAATGGATTATGTGGCTCAGAAACGCTCTGGACAACCCATATCCATAGCACCCAATGTGGGGTCACAACATTCTAGCCTGGAAGGCATTAAAGAAGCACTGGGAAGAAGGAAGCACATAGTTCATGGAGGCCACACCCAGGACGTTCACCCGCAGTGGGCCCTGGAGCCGGGCGTGGTGCACACTTGGGGCCGCAGTAAGCTTTCCACACTCCACTGCTCACCAAAGGCGGTGATTATGAGCACAACACTGCTGTATGCTGAACATTTATGACAAGATTTTGGTCTTGGTCTGACTGTCTGCCTCAAAGGTCTCTAGGCTCAGCAGGAGAGCGCATCACCCCGCCTTCCCACAGCAGTACACTGGCTCTGGAAGATGCCAGCTTAGAGAGGTAGACTTCATTTCGCCAGCTCAGAGGAAAACTGGATTAAAAACTGTATACAGTCCCTCCTGCAAAAGGACTGAAATGAGGCGCCTGCCTCTTCCAACTATATTTTACAATTTACCACAAAGTAGAGAATGATTTCCTTTCAATTTCCAACTAAAGTGTTCACTTTCACAGACAAAATCAGGATAAGATTGTTAAATAGAGTGGTAAATGAGGGCACAAAGAAATACACTTAATTATATCGAAAGCAAGCTCATGTGTCTAAGTGGAGAACCATGCGAGAGAGGCTGACAAGGCAATCCACAACTCAGATGTGTTCTACGTGACCAGGACCCTAACCTTCATGAAGCGCTCCTAAGGAAAGCTACTCATCTGAGGAATGTCTTTCCAGGACTGACCCTCGTGTTTCCCATCACATGTTGAAGAAGAGCCGAATCCTGGGGTCCCAGCAGGCACTATATTAGGTTACCTGGTGGCTTGTTAATTAAACCTGTATACCCCAGGTGGCCGCTGTGTTGAGTCTTGCAGTCAGCAGCAGAGCAGGCAGGATGGTGGCCTCAGGAATGTGTTTATGAGCTCAAGAGATCTGCAGGTAGGTGGTCCCTGCCCCACGTGATGAGAAACACCATCCAAACTTAGAGTACATCTTGCCTTACTCTATGCAAAGCCAAACTGGCTTCAACTTGGGCAAGACCTCTAGTTGGCTTAGAATCATCAACTACAACTGCAGCTGTTGCAAAAATGGACCACCTGCAAAGCTATTCAGTCTGGCTGTGGCCCTGAAAAAGCTGACTGACAAGCTTCTTCCTTTTGCTCCTTTTCCCAGGAGCCTGCCTGCAGGTTCCTCTATCTGGACTGGAAACCAGCAGTCCTACTGACTCTCTAACTCCTGGACCTGGTTCCTCATTTGCAGGAGGAAGAAAAACCCACAAGCAGGTGACCTGCAAGATTCCTTTCTGGAGGAGGGCCTATCTATCATTGTAAAATCTTTAACATTTGGCTCTAAGCACACTTTGAAAGAAGGGATTGAAGCGGGAAAGAAACGCCCTTTGTATCACTCTTGAGACTATTAAATAATGTGCCCCTCAGCTGTCCAGTGGCTGCCTTCCACAGGAACGTGTGATTCCTACAGGACCTGTGAGATCACCATTAACATGCTGGTGCAGACACAAAGAAGAGAGTGCTCTTTTCTGAGCCACTGATTTCCAGGAACCACCTGATTAGGCCCAATGACTGCTGGAATTGGCTCCTGGGGCTCTGTGAGCACCTGTGCCCGCCCCTGCCGTGCAGGACCTCAAGTCCAGTACCCTACAACTGATCATGGTGGGAAGCTGGAGAGCAAGGGAATCTGTACACAGTAAACGCCAGGGCTCTTCTGAGGGCTCTGCGGGAGGCAAGTGTTAAACGTGTACTAGCACGCCATTGATGGGCTTCAAGGGTGCAGGAAGAGTTCATTTTATTTTTTCCTTTTGTCACCTGAATTTAGTTCTATCACTCTGAGTAACAACAGCATCCTTGGAATGATCAAACCAAGATAATTTCATGATATGACCTTGATAAGGTTTCACAGACCCAGGCAGACCCTTTGGAATGGCCCATGTGGCCACCAGTACAGGAATGAATTAGGCTCTGGAAATGCTCAAGTGGTCGGTCTCCTTAGAGCGGAGCCCCAAACCAGACAGACTGGTTATTGCCTAATGAGGTGCTGCATGATAAGTACCAGGCCCTTTCTGTCTTTCGTCATCAAGGTATTTAGTTTTTCTCACATCAGACTTGAACCCAAAGATGACAGAGAGACAGGGAGCAGCACCCCTACCACCAGGCAGGGCCCAGCGCCCAGCCATGCATCCAGGGGGAAGAGGCCACCAGCAGCCTGGCAAGCAGAAGCAAACAGCAGACTTTCAGCTAGCTCTTTCACTGTGGAGGTTCTGTCACCCTCTGTCTTAGCTGGACTCTAAAGAAGCGAGGAGGACATTCTCTTCCTCGACATTTGGATTACAGCTTCTTTTCCAGCAGACAGGAACAGGTGTGGAACCTTTGGCTGAGGTACATCAGTGGAAGTACAAACCACACGACAACTCTCCTGCCAGATCCCAAACCTGAATACCTCCCCTGACATGGCTTTGCCCCTCACACAACGTGAGATCTGGTAAGTAAAGTGCAACGATCACTGATACTGTAACAGTATCACTGATACTGTAATTTCGACTACACATACCTGTGAGTGTGCTACGAAGACAGGCAGCTAATAAGCACATGGAGTTTTCTGATTTAATTATTAAACTTGAACTTTGAGTTGTTCATAAATTAGTTTCAACATGTTTTCAACAGCAGTAATAAAGACACTGGAAAGATGAATCAAATAGTTTTTGCTCATGATATTGTTACCTAGACACTATTATTAATAATAGAAAAACAAATCCTTGCTTATTATTAAATTTTAGAATGTGTAGAAATGCGATAAGGCATTAAACTCAAAGAAAAACTTGAAAATATCTCCATTAGATTTTTATAAAACCTGTCTTCCCAGAGAGAACCATCCACGGGTTCTCAACTGCACCCTAGTTGTGCCACCACTTTTAGGCAGTGCCCAAGTTTGGGAACAACTGTTTTCAGGGTGAACAGATGGCGACGACTACATTAGGTCAAATGTTTCTGATGAGCACCTGGAGAACTACGGATTGCGACCACTTCTACCAGCCAGACACCAACACACGCACTTCACAAATCAAGGTCAAAATGTCTCCCTGGTTTTATGTTGCCCTCCTTTTTAAAATGTTATGAGAGGGGCCGGGGGGATGGCTCAGTGGAATAAGCACTTCCCTGGCACGTGCAAGGGCTTGGGTTCAATCTCTGGTTCCGCCCCCCCCCAAAAAAAAGTTATGAGAAAAATATTTTTTAAGATATTTTTACTACTATAAATGATATTTTCCACGTGGCCCAACACAATTCCTCTTAACACAGCCCATAAAAGTCAAAAGGACAGACACTCGTGGCATAGATAAATGGAAAGCACAAACAACTGATGTGGAGCGGGCCTTGGGAGATGGAAGGAATGGGCCCCGCCTGGCGGTGTCCACATCAGGCCTCTGTGGCCCCTGCGGCAGAAAGACATCTGGGATGCTAACCCCAGGTCTGGGCCAATACCCAGCTTTCCTAGTTAATGGGAAGAAGAGCTGACCCCAAGGAGGGTGTCTGTAAACCCTGGGGAAGTTCAGCAAGGTGTCTTGGGAGACAGAGTCTGGCAGACAGAGGTCTTTTAGGTCCTAGGCAAAGTGCTGGAAGGGCATTCCCAGAGGAGGCCAGGTCAGAACTGAGCAAAAGTGGGGTCAGTGCCATCACGTCAGGGAGCTCCAGCTGGCCTCCAGGGTGCCGAAGGGAGAAAGCAGGGACAGTAGGGATGGGGAGAGGCAGAGTGGATGCAGCCAAGCCCAGTCCTGCCTGTGAACCAGGGGCCTCTGGACAGAGGGGAGGCTGCCTGTGGTGCAGCTCAGAGCATGTGTCCATCTGGGAGAGGCCAGACAGGCGTGCTGATCTGGCCTTTCTCCTCTTGCTGCAGAAAGGTAACCGTATCTGAGCAACAGGGCAGGGGGCCGCCTGCGGGGCATGAAGGGGTCACTGAGGGAAACTAAGAGAAGACAACGTTGAAACCAAAGTGATTATGGGTCCTCCACTTCCCCTCCTTTGTACAAAGGGGTGCAGCGGGCAACAGAGGCCTTCTGTACTCTCCTGCTTTTAACCCCGCCCTACATTTATTCTTCACTTCATAGCACAGGACAAGAGCCTGATGCCATTTGCTCTGTTATTCAGCACATCAGCAAACACGGCTTCTGCCAATTCACCAAACTGTTGTCCTCAGGGGCAGTGGGACAAATGGACTCTGACCCCACCAAGGCTCTTGGCGCTCTCTTCACCAGGCCAGCCGTCCCCATAGCAACGCAGGCCTCCGGGCTCAGCGGCCTTGGGATAGCAGGGCCCTGCTCTGGCACAGTGTGACGGTGGATTTAGATCCTGGCCTCCTCTCAGATGGGGGTGGGACTGTGATCCACACAAGATTTCTCTGTGACTCAGTTTTCTTATCTCTGAGAGGATAAGGGGCAGCTTTTCAAGGCTGTTGTGAACATCACAGCAGGTTGCAGCACTTGGTGGTACCGCACAATCAGCACCTCAAAAAGATTTACTGCATACCTACCGTGCGATGGCACTATTGAGGGGCTCCAGGTAGAGTGGTGAAATGGCCCAGTCTAACCCAAAACGGCTGCTTGGCATGGGAGAGGAGAGAGGCTCTGAGGTCATAGCTCAGGAGCAAATCGGCTGTTTCATTTTGAGCTGATTATTTAACCTCTCTGTTTTAATTTTCTCAATGATATCCATGTGATAGTGTTGCAGGGATTAATAAAAGCAGATTAAATACTGTTTGAAGATTAATACAAGGACATCAAGAAATCTTCACAACATTCAGCTGAAGCAAAGCTGAGAACCAGCTTTATTAATAATAAATGTGACAAGCGTCACGGGGAGAGGGCATGGTGTGGGCTGGGGCACTGGCAGCAGCAGCTAATCTGGTCTGCCATGGGAGAGGAGACTGCAGCCAGGGGCGGTTTCTGAAAGATGACGCGTAAGCTCAGACCCTCAGCTCAATCCAAGGGTTACGAAACCATGAGATTGCTGCGTGTGCTGAAGGACAAAGCCTGGCGGGCCTGACCCAGCTCACTGTCACCTTCACTGTGGCCGGGGGCGGTAACAACCTGAAGAGCCAGACCACAGCAGGGCTCCCCGCAGCACGACAACCAGAACAGGCATTTCGGGAGCAAGGAAGGTCACAGGTGCCTCCCACAGCCACACACTGCTCTCCGGCCATGGAGACAGAGGCCCTCCCTCAGAAGATGCGGCGTTTGGCAAGGGGGGAGCCGCGGCCACCTCCGCCTCTGCCTGGCCACTGACAGTCAGGGGGGCCGTCGTGCACCTCCATCCAGTGAGTCCTTCACCATAGCAACCGTCTCGTGCTTCTAAAACAGGAGACAAGGTGTTGTGTCTCTCAAAACTAAAAAATGGAAAAATCACCTCATGCACTCACCCGGCTTTCCACAATGTTCCTGATGAGTTCTGTGGGGGAACAGGGAAGACGGGAGTGTGCTCTGGCAGAAACCAAGCGACACGTTTCCCAGGATATCCCTTTGGCTAACCACACAAACATCCTATGGATATCTAAATCACTGAACTGAACCAGTTAATACCCGATGCCAAGCACAGTTAAACCAGCCGCCCTGGAAAGCAGGCTGGTATACTCCAGGGAAGCATTTGTGATAACTCCAGGGCTTTTTAAATTGAAAGTTGAGGGGGCTGGGGAGATGGCTCAGTAGAATAAGTGCTTCCCTAGCAAGCGCAAGGATCTCAGTTCAATCCCTGGTTCCGAAAGAAAAAAAAGATAAATTGAAAGTTGAGGTAGGAAACGTCAGTTGCCAAATCCAAAGGTAGGTCACTAAACAACCCGGAGTTTCTTCTGATCTTCCACCCCTGCCCGTGGCCGGCACAGGCTCACCCAGGTCAATGAGGATAGCGTGCTGCTGGGAGGTGAGCTGCTTCAGGAGTTCCTTGTAGGGCACATCCTTTGGCTGCTGTTTACTAGGAAATGGGTGTCTAAGTTGGAACTGCTCGGCCAGAAATTTCCAGATTTCACCACGGTGATGACGTGGCACACCTTTAAGGAGAAGGCAGGAAACACAAAGACAGACTTTAAGCATAGGAGTTCACTTCATACAGTAATAAAAATGAAGAGTTTCATTCTGTTGCTCCGAATTCTTGTTCCACTATAAATTCCCAGCATAGGAATGGAAAGAAACAACCCAAAACGTGTCACCCTGTGCCTTCCCTTCTACCCCTCATTTTCCCTGCCCCATTCCTTTCAAAGATATCTTCTGTTCTACGACTCTTCAAGGGGTAAATTGAGGACCTGGTTGCAACCAATAACATTCTAGTGAAATAAGATCAGGCATAAAGAATGACAGAGCAAGCTGTGACCTCCCAGCAGGGAGAGACCTGAGGCATAGGCCCAGGTGATAGGAACTGGCTCCCCGCTGAGCACTCTGGGTTTCACAGAAAGATGCTCTTTGGTCAAACCTCAAGGATGAAGGAAAAGGAAGAAAAACAAAGCAGAAAAAGGGACTCTCAAGCGCTGCAGCTCACCACAGGCATTTATCAGAAACGCTTTAGGAAAAATAAGCATTTGTTCTTTCCTCTCACATTCACTTAAAAAAAAAAAAAAGAAAGAAAGAAAGAAACCAAGTTGGCCTGTGGGACAAACACAGGCCCCAGCTATATAAGCACAGGCCACACTACCTCTAAACATTCACACACGCACTCCTGTGCAGTGTGTTGAGCGCTGATCCCCCAAGAGGAAGGATTTATCTAAGTCCTATACCCTGGAGCTTTGTGGATATAAAGGCAAGATCCTGAGGAAAGTAGGGTTACAGTGGACCTCATAGCCAGTGATGAGTGTCCTGTGACAGACATTCTGAGAAAGGACACAGTGTGACCACGGAAGCAGAGACGAGGCACAGCTGTAAGCCAAGGAATGCGCAGCCAGCAGAGCAGACGAGGCCCAGGGCAGCTCAGCCCAGCTCCCTGACACGGCTTCCTATGCTGGGAGTGGGAAACTCCTGTCTTTTTCAGCATCGTGTTGCTGTAAGCTGTTAACAGACTACGGTGGCAACAGCAAACGAACAGGCCCTAATATGTGCCTTTCTGTGTCACTGTTTTTCCTCCCTAGCATCCCTCCAGAGAAGTGTCTTAGCTGTACACTAGCAGGCATGGCATGGACACTCATGCACGACGCTTCATACTGGAACCCGGACTAAAGGCAAATGGGAGCTGGAAAACAGCTGGCATGGCAACTCTGTAGCGGGGCTTTATGCACAAAACATGGAAAACTGGAACACAAAACTGGAAAGCTTGCCCCAAGGTACAAGAGGTCAAGTCTCCTCTTCTTGTGAAATCATTCCCACTATCTTATCAGACAATGCTGGCTGTATCATTTTGAGCACTACATATTTTGGGATTCCGGAGTAAGCTTCGAACCTGTGATTTAAAGCAAAAGTCCCTAGGAGTCAGACACAGATTTCTTGCTAGGAATGGCCTGGAACACCCTCGGAAGGCTTTATTTTGCTCTTTCCACCTGAGAGTCCTGGCCGTGGAGCCCACATGGCTGTCAAGTGGGGTTCCAGGGGACAGGGGACAGATCACCACTCCAGCCTCTGCGCAAATAACTTTCTATTTTTACTGATTTGAAAAATAGTGTTTACTATTTAAAAGCAAAACAAAACCAGAATAATCCTCTGAAAAATTCAAATCATATAAAGAAGAAAGTGAAAATCCACCCATACCTAGAATTGAAAAAGATTACCATCTAAAACTCTGGAGAGGGAAGAGGAGAAAGGCGACTATTTTATCCGGACAAGAGCTGAAAACTGGGGTCACAGCGGTGACCTGGGCAGTCTGACCAGTGTACCCACAGCCCATATAACTGAAAATACTAAGCATTTCCTGGATGTGTTCTGTGTTTTGGTTTAGACTATTAACGCCACAATAGGTGCTTTCCTATCTGCAGTCAGTAATTTTGTGTTCATTAATTTCTAGAATAATCTTCTAGAAATCTCATCAGAAAAAGCAAAGTCTGCATTTGGCCCACACTGCTCTCTGCTCGGCGGCCACTCTGCAACAATTCCACTCCAAGGAAACATTTCAGGCTTATCATGTTCTAGATCTAGATGACTTTAGAGAAATCACTTTGACTCAAACTCAACTCTGAACTTTCTACTCTTCTCCCTGCTTGAATCCTTAACACGGCCACTTCCATCAGGTCCTCACCTGCAAAGCTTTATGAATCCTTTTATTTGTGTCAGCAGGGGCTGCAGATCAGCGAGGGCAAGGCCCCATCAACCACACAGTGCTATCCCCTCTCTCAAGGTCTCTGAGATGACAAAGCTGTTCTGATTTAATCTGATGTTTTACATCTGAGCCACAGAAGGAAGCGGTCATCTGTTTGGAGCCTTTCAGCCCTTGAAGTGCTGAAGCCAGATGATGCAGAGCCTCTTCGAATGCGCTGCCTGAGCTCCCGCAGTAAACCCAAGGGATAAAGTCAGGGAATCCAGAAGAAATTCTAGGCCAGCCTCTCCCGTCCCACACACAAGCTGTGCATCACCCACGTCTGACTGCAACACAGCGTCCAGATTCCTGAGGTGTTTCTATTTGTCCCCCTCCTAAAATGCACAATAAGAAGCAAATGACCAGATGGCTGGCCCAGGAGAAGCTCAAGCATTGTGACCGCTGTCGCAGAGCACGTGAGGCCTTCTGTTAGAAGCCATGCTGCCAAAGTCATCGCTTATTCCACCCAGACAGGGAAAGAGCACATTCCTGTCCCTGCCTTCTCCTTTTTCACGACAGCCAACTGTGGCCACCTGGTGTGAGAATAGGTCTCTAGCAGCCACTGTGGGGGTGAAAGTGGCAGCACTGCTGGCCACACAGCCGCCACCTCACCCTCTGCTTGGACCAAGACTCTCAGGACGCAGGAGCCCCAGGCTGGACTGAAGGCTACTGCCGACTTTGAAGCCCACTCTTCACCACTGCACACATTGCTGGTTTCTGAGGACACCCTATAAAGGTGCGATTCTACCAGAGACAGTGCAGTGTGATACTTAGACCCTTGGCAGCTTGCAGTGAGCCCAGCCCTGTGGCCTCAGCCCATCATCAACCACTATAAGCCTGAGCATCCTTACTCTTATCACTAGGGAAGTCACACTGAGCAGTAATTACCCATTACCGCTAAAATGTGTGCTGTCAGAACTCAAGGTAAAAAAGCTTTAAAATGCCTAGAATATTATGTGAGAAAGCCTACTTCATTCCATTAACCCTCTTAGAGATAAGTAAAGCTTCTACCTGTCCAATGTTCTTCTGCTGGCAGTGATAAAGCCAGAGGAAAACCATGTATCTATCTACACAAGTGCAACCCTTAGTCCAGACAGCTGGGTTTTGAGGACTAGATCAGCCAGAAGGCAGCAGTAAAAGCAGATGAGGCTCACAAGGCTCTTACCAATAGATGCTAATGTACTTTTAAAAAGAAATCACTGTTTTTACTTGAACACTGTGCTTCTCAGACTTATCTGTGAAGAATCAATCTTTTATTTTTAAAAAGTTTCCCAATCCACTGCAGACTGATGCTTTTATAATATACATTAAAAATGAATTAGGAGAAAATGAAACAAGGGAGACAGAACGACAAAATGTAGGTCCACACTTTCTATGAGGACCACTGTGTCCCACTGCTGGAAGCCTTTCCAAATGCTCAGTATGGAGCTCTCTCCTGGCCTGTCCCTGGACCAGCAGATCACACCAGGAAGCTGGCAGCATGGCCGCATGTGGGTGTCCCTTCCTGCCTCCTCGCAACCTCTGCCTATCCACCCACACCTGAAACATAGAGGACCGAGCTCAAAGGTACAGTCTCTGCTGAACAGCACACCACAAAGTGAGTGGGCCAGAATCTGAGCCCTGACCATCTGTCTAACCTCTGTCCTCCCATTATTTTCTCTCTAGAGTTCACAGAGAGAAGCCACACAATTAGTTTTTTCGTTTAGGATTTAGCTCAGGCTAAATCACCCCATCATTATTCAGTCTTCAGGCAATTAAACCCTTGGGTTCTTCTCTCTTATTTTCCTATGCACTGGTTTTCTGGGCACTCAATTCAATTAGAAAGGTTATGAAAGAGTGAAAGTCACATCAATTAACTATGTCTGGCACCAGAGCAGCGGAAGGTGTAATGAGATGGACTGGGGAGGCCGCCTGGGAAAAGCAGGCTTGGACCGTCTTCGCCCCACCTTTCCCATCGCTGGCGAGGGTGTGCCTGGCTGGCAGGGCCTGAAAAGCTTACCTTGCCCCACAGCAGAGTGCATTTTTTCCATATCGAACTTAATTTTTGATCTTCCTGGAAAGCCAAGCATCTTTTCCCACACTGCAGTGACTTCTTTAAGGCAGGGAGTGATTTCTTCATAATCGAGCTTTAGGCGCTTGTTCAGCAAATCATTCTCAGAGGCTGGAAGAGATCACATAAGGGCACATTACTGGACACCACAGCCACAGGTCACGGCACCTGACCGAATGCCTGCTCATCACTACTGAGATGGGTTGCAGGTCCAGCCAGCTGAGTGGGTCAAATAAAAGTCACCATTTCCTTTACAGAAATGCTAAAAACCTAGGAAATATCTTTGATTTCATCCCCAGTGTTGGCTCCACTGTTAAGATGTATGCCGGAAAAAACATCTGTCCCGTTCTTTCCATCTTTACAGCTATCCTATCAAACTGCAAACACCTAAAAGGCAAGAGCAGGGTGTTATAATTCCCAGTGCTTGGCATGGTTAGAGCTCAGCAAACGTTTTTCATCTAAACTAAGAGAGGCACTCTGTACCTGTACCGTCTTTTTTTTTTTTGGCGGAACCGGGAATTGAACTCAGGTCCTTGCACTTGCCAGGGAAGTGCTTATTCCACTGAACCATCTCCCCGGCCAAAGAGAGGCACTCTGAATCATAGTTTCTCTTTATTTAGAGCCAGATAATCCTTTCCATAGTGTCTCCTGTGGGTCATATTTCTGTTTACTGCAGTTACACAAAAAAATGCCCCTTTCATACAACAAAACTCCTCGTATAGATGAAGATAGTTACTGTGTCCCACCAAACTTACTCAGCCTAAAGATACCCAAGAAGAATTAGACCTACATTTCCAAAACGGAGATGAAATCAATAAAGGAAAATTTTAAATTGATATTTTATTTTTTATTTATTTTTAAAAATTTTTTCCCATAATTTTATTCATAAACAAATAGCAATGAGACAGTTGCAAATCAAATTGGTAGGACAGTTTCAATAATTAACACACTGCATACATTCTTCCTAGTGGTTAACTGCTGTACAAGAATCATTCTATTCATTAAGAGAATGTAACTATATATCTATCAAAACCACTTTGAGTAAACAGATACAATCGTCTATATAACCTTTTTTTTTTAAGTTCCATTATTTCAATATTATAGGTGTGTAAACTCAGCAAAATATTCTAAAAGAGTCCAGTAGACCATAATAGTATTGGGTCTTCCGCTTGACTGGCTATGTCAGAAATTGTAAATCGGCCGGAGCTAGTTTCTTTCTTTTTGGGCAGAACCGGGGATTGAACTCCGACCCTTGCGCTTGCCAGGGAAGCGCTTATTCCACTGAGCCATCTCCCCGACTAAAATTGATATTTTAAATGGATTCTCTAGTCCAGTCTCTCACTTTAGGGACACGGAAGCTAAAGTTCAGAGATAAACACATTCACGATGGGGCTGCCTTCATGTCTTGCTCCTGGTGGCTCTGAACCATTGGTGGGTGATACATGTATGGCTGTCCCATGGGGTGACATGAACAATACCACTGGGTGGTACAAGCCAGCTAATGGGACAGGCATGCGTTCTCCATTAGTGGTTCAAACTGGCAAGAGCATGTTAAGTGATTTGCCTAGTGTCATACAGTAGGTGCTAGGCAGCTAAGTGACTCTAGGCCTCACACCCCTTTCCTCTTGCCTTTTTGGACTTTTCATATACCATCTTTATTTATCCTCTTCCTTCCAAGAATATTTGTTCTAGGATCCATTAAACATTTCTCTACATCTCTGGTATTAACATTTTTTAGAATGCTAAACGTTTTAGTTGTGTTGGTTATGAAAAGACACAACAGACATCAGGAGAGCTAGGCCAGTGTTTACAGCAAGTCAGGCTGGATCGAGCTGTGCTACGGTGGCTGGAGCTTGCACTGGGCTGCTGATGCCAGCGCAGATCCTCTGGCAATGAATCTTGCTGTAAGCGTGTCTGGCTCCCTTCTTACAGCCAGCAAACAGCTCCAAGTCCTTGCTCTGAAGCCCGCTGTACCGCACATGGCTAGAAGACTCAGCTGCAAACCCATGTATTCTGCTGTTGGTCCCAACGACATCCTGTTTCAGGACCCCGACCAACACTGCTGCCTAAAAGCAGTGGCCTCTGAAATGCCTCAGCAGCCACAGCAGATGGACAAACCCGCAATACACAGCAGAGCTCCCGGGAAATGGCTTCAGACACAGGACCCAGTCGCTCCCGGTGTTAAACAGGAGCCCACACACCCGAGCAGGTGCGGAGCATGACACATTCATCTGCGCGCCCACCTGGACTGACTGTGCCCAGCTCTGTCAGGCCCACTGTGCGGGGCAGGCTGTCACTGCACTGCCCCAGGCCTGCCTGCTCGGCTAGCCAGCAACTGCTTTCACTGACCGACTCTTGCACCACAGTTACCGTCTCTCCAAAGCTCAGAAAGCTAAGAGGTTCAACAATTAAAAGGCCCTCACACTTGTACAGGTCTTAGGCAAATTATACTCAACACTTCATTTTTTAAAAAACAGAAACATGTCTTATTTAACTAAGGAAGAGGCTTTATAAATTCAAATGTCATCTATGGTTCACAATGTAATGTTGCATTGTTATGGAAATGTAACACGCATAACATTTTAATCTTAAGATGCTGATTAAATCATAAGATGCTGATTTTCATGAATTGGTCTGACAATAATAAATCAACCCAAGCCTAGCTGTACTGAATCACACCTTGCTGTCCTGCTCACATTTTCATTTAAAAATAGGGAGAAAATGACTCTGCAGAGAGAAACAGCAGAGGATTGCTGGATTGGGAAAGAGGAGATGCATTTTATTTTCAACATCACATCAAATTAGCTGTGCAACTTTGGGCACATCACAACTTCAGCTGCTACGTGTCCACAATGGAGCAAGGTCGACTTAAGTGACGCAGCTTGGTTCCTTCCAGGATGCAGCACCTCCAGAAGAGGAACAGATACTGGATCCATGTATTTGGAAGTAAAGAAGTAAGGCAACCAGAGAAAGAGCTTTCTCTCACACGTTCCTCTCACTGTTTCCCCAAAGTCTATGCAAGCCGGGTTAACTAATTGTAAAAGCTACTTGCAGCTACAACTTGACCTTCTTTTAAGAACCAAATGAGAAAAATAACAGCATCACAGAAGGACCTCTTCTCTACCTGGTCCTTTGATAGGTTCTTGTCAAAGCTCTTCTGTATTTAATGAGAAAGTTCTACCCTGTCCATAATCCACCACCCACAAAATTTATTAGTACCCTATCATTAAATCAAGAGACCGTTACTTCTGATTATTCTTCTCAGCAAGGTAAGTACTATACACATCCACACAACGAATGACTGCCTCTTACATTGAGCAATTTGATCATGTTTTGACCACAGAGATAAACATATGTTTAACTACTCTGCCAAACTAAGAAGACAAATGAATTTAAACAGTAAAAACGAAATGTCACAAAACAAACACTGCTAGTCAGTCTAGCGAAATGAGGAAGCAATAGAAAGACGAGGGCCAGGACCTTTCAGCGGCGCCCGGCAAGGTGCTCTAGAGGTGCCCGGCCTGCCTATCAGCATTAGCGCAGCAGCGTACTTTCTGACACCCGCAAGAAGCTGGCCAGCGTGTCCCCTTCTGCAGCTATGTCCCGGCTGCCGCTGCAGAAGGTTCGGGACCTACACAATGATGTGGTGGCCTTTTTGCTTTTCAACAGAAACTTCAACATCCACATGAATGTGAATTCTATGCTCCAAAGCTGTCATTTAATTGATGATGCATTTGGGGATGATTATCAAATATTTTTAGGCATCTGAATTCAGGATTACCTTCAAGAATGAACAAGAAAATGGTAGAAAAATGGAGCTGAAGAGAACTTAGCATTGGCCTGCTTTAAGCTCTCCTCACAGTGTTTGCCTTCCACCGACCCCTCCACTTCCAGACCAAGGCACAGACAGCAAAGTTCATTTAAAAGCTGCCTGTTCTGCTGCTGACTACTTTCATATCAAAAGTCTTTACTTCTTTTTATTCAAAAATTAATACTTGATTGGGTCTCTTGCATGTTTTGTGCATCTACACCATTCGCATCTGCAGAAGCCAGGCTGTGGCTGCCTGCAGACACATGATGTTGGAGCTCATGGATGTGGACCTGTGCAGAGAACACTCATCTGCTCACCTCACACCAGATACCGGGCGGGGCCACAGGCATGGCGGTGCCGCCTGTAATCCCAGCACCTGGGAGACTGAGGCAGGAGGACTGCACTGAGCTTTCAAGGCCAGCTGAGGCTTACAGTAAATTCAAGGCCAGCCTGAATTACAGGGTAAGATTCTGTCTCAAAAAAAAACGAGACCAAAATCAAACAAAACATAGAAATAATTTTTAAAAAACACCTCAAAAAAGAAAAGTGGTAGGTTCCTGTATAATAAACTTCATAGCATGCCACACTTTCTCCAGAACTTAGTCTTCAGACGTAGCATGTTGGTGGCTCTATTTTTATATAAACATCAGCATCAATACCAAAAGACAAAACCTGGCAATCAAAGGAAATGAAGAGGGGAAAAAAAAAAAAAAAAAAACAAAGGCAACGAAACACGCTCTAACCCTAAAACTGCTCTGGGCAATGGCATTGTGACCAACTCCTGCTACAGTTTGCCTTTACCAGGGTATACTTGGGCTTTGCCCTCCAAGTCTCACTGATCTATACCAGGCAGCTCTCTGAGCTATAGGGCTTTTACACAGACCCATACACCTTGCTTCTTAAACTATTCTAACATCATTTCATTGGTTTAAGTGTTGGCATGGAAACAGGAGATGAATAAACCCTACACTTTTCAATTTTGTGTCATATTCTGATGTTGTTTAAATCAATCAATACAGGTAGAACTGAGCCAATATTTTTTTTCAAGTTATCAACAATCTACTGAAAAGGTATAAAAGGAGATTACAAACTTTAAGGACTCCCACAGAATTCTTTGATTTCTAATACCTAGGAATACTGTGGCTGAGGACAGAGTCAAAAAAATAAAACAAAATACAAGGAAAAACACCCACATTTTTAAAAAAATTGGAGCTTAAAAAAATTATAGCCTGTATCTCAGAAGTTCTAGGCATTGTGCTAGTGACTATACAGGAATTAATATAACTGATGAAATAATATTTATTTATTTATTTATTTATTTATTTTCCTCCAAATGCCTTCAGGGCAGGTTTGGCTGGCTTGAGTTGTGGGGATCGAACCACAGCAACCTGAGCCTGACTGCTGTGTTGAAGCAGCCACTTAAATAACTGAGCTAAGGGGCAGGCCCCCTGAAATTATATTTGAATCACCACAAAGTAAGTAATGCTGACATTACTTTAAAATAGTAAACAGGGAAGACTGAAGATATGTAAGGTCACCCTGATTTTAGTTTGATACAGTTCCCTTCAGAGCCAAGCTCAGTCACGGTCAGCCTGTTGAGTTCCAAACCCACCTTGCAGCTTCTGGTTTTCCTTCTCCATCCTAAGCAGCAGAATCTGCTGCAGAATGGCCTTCCTCCACAGCTCCCGCAGCTCCCTCGGAGACCTCTTCCTTTCCTCCGGTACAGGGCCGAAGGACCCATCTTCACACACTGGCTCCAAAGGAGACCGCGGGGGAAGCTCTCCTATCTCTGAATAATCTGGAGAAGGATAAGCAGGTTTTAATTTTTCAACACATCTTTTAACATATTCAAACCATGCTAAATCATCAGCTTCTCATTTAGATAAAACCTAGGGCCAATGAGATAGCTTAGTGGACTAAGCACCTGCTTAAGCAAGCACAGGAAGCAGGGTTTGATCCCTGACACCACATGCAGTGCTGGCCCTGCCCCCAGGTGTGCTGAGCCGGCCACCAAGATCAGGCGTGGTGGCACACAACTGTATTCCCAGAGCTGGGGAGGCTGAAGACAGGAGGATCACTATGAGTCTGAGCTCCGTAGTTAAGACCCTGTACCAAATACATAAAAAATAAGAATAGAATGATAGTAAAACACAGTAACATCACCAAATTAAAAATTCATGTTTCAATATGTGTTGAAATAACCTAGGTCTAAGCCATTAATATAAAACAACAATACATCAAATAGCGGAAGTTGCAGGACTGAGGAAATGATTAAAGATGCTTACTTTTAAAGCAAAGTTTTAGCTTCTCCTATAGAAGTTATGTAATCACTGTATTACTGACAGAACAAGCAAAAGCGCCTCCTCAGTAGCAGTCTGGGCATGGTGGCATATGCATAATCAAGCTCATTTCATCATCACAACCACCCTGTGACACATGTACTATGATTAGTTTTACAGAATAGCAAACACAGGGAGGTTAAGTAACTTGCCCTATGTCACACAGCTAGAAGAAGCAGGGCCACACCAAAACAGTGTGGCTTCTGTGAGCCTCTTACTGCATCAAAAGCTACTCTGAAAGATTAAAATATATTTCATGGTAGCTCATAACAGTGAGCATTGACAGACCCTCTAGCAAGTGCTGGGCACTCTTGGCGGTGCTGGGCACTGAATCCCAGGCTTTTACCCTTTGCTTTGGAGAAGGGTCTCACTAAGCCCCTGGGTTCTCAAGGCCTTAGGATAGCAGGTAAGCACCCCTACACCCCACCCTGTCAGTCATTTTCTACAAGCAGACCTACTTAACCCCTAGGACAACCTCCAGAAGGAAAAACTAGGCTGACAAGGAAAACGTGGCTCAAGAAGACCAAGTGATTTCCCCAAGCTCATACAGTGATTAAACAGATATACTGGGATTCTAACCCATGTCCACCTAGGTCCGAAACCTATCTGATATTATAAGATACCACAACCCAAATGTTTTTTTTTTTTCCTGTATTTTAAGGAAGGGTCTATAGGGTCTGTAGGGTTTCACTACTAGATCAGACTTGTAGCGATTCTCTTGTTTACAGCCTTTCAAGAGCTGGAATTACAGGCGCAGGCCACCGCGCCCAGTCTCAATCGCCATCTCAGTGAACCCCGGGGGCGGGGCCAGCAAGGCAGGCCCGGGGATTGAATCCCCAGTCTCTGCACCTGCTTGCAGCCGCTTTAATCTACTGAGATATTTGGCCGGCCCCCCAAATGTTTCCTATGTCATCAATTTTTAAATTTCTGGGTACTTGCTTCAACCTCTTTGTGTACGTAGAATCTGAAGCTCACCTCCCTGCAGCCACTGTGTTCTGGTACACACTGATGTCATAGCTCACAAACACCTTCCAGACACATACAGAGAACATGCCACCTGCCCCGAGTCCCTAGCTAAGAAAGGCAGCAGAGTCCTGTACAACTTGACCTCATAGCACCTAACACATTCTTGGACTTCTGTATAAACAGAATCTTTGAAAATAAAACCACTGTCTCAACACATGCAGTGAAAAGCCTATATCTCACAACCACCCAAAACATAACCTACAATCTCTTTCAGCTGATAGGTCCAAGCAATTTCATGATACAATTTAGCTTCCAGTCTTCAGTAATAACTATATCTTTTCTGAGGTTATATTGGCTTTCCTACTGTGAAATCTACAAGAACAAATAAAAGCACAAAAAGTTTAATTTCTTAAAATGACTTAACTTTCTTTAAAATCACTGGATTAAAATACAATAAACATTAATTAAGAATGCCTTATTGACTCTTCAGGCATTTAAATTCAGAGCTCTAAATTACAGAGCTCCAGATTCTTATTTCTTATCATCTCACTACACAAATGAATATAATTCTACTTTCTTTTGGGATAAGAAATAACTAGACAGTCAATGCATTTTACTGGAAGAAAAATGTTTGTTCACTTTTCAATGAAATGTAAGAATCAAAACTGCCTATTGCTAACGTCCAACTGTGACTCCAAGGTCCACAGTCCCCAGAGTAGCACCTGTAAGAGGCCCTTCCATCCCTGGAGACTGCCTTCAGGAGAGACTGTGAAGCCCTGGTCTCTGCTCCTCTCTGCTCTCTGGTATAAGACATGCCCAGTCCCTGCAGCAACGTGCCTGCCACAACATGTGGTGCCCCTCCCAGAGGCCTGAACCACAGGGGGCACCCAATCTCAGATGGGAACTTCCAAACCTGTGAGCTCAGTAATCATTTACCTTTATTAATTAGTTACCTCAGGAATTTCACTGCGATACAAAGCTAATAAAGTTATCTCAGTTTTATAAATATTATTGAAGGCGGCATAATTTAGCGATTAATAGGGAAAGTTCTATGCTGGACTAGCTGGGTGTTAATCAAGACCCTGCTACTTATGGATTACACAATCTTTTGCAAGCCACTTCATTTCTCTAAGCCTCAGCTTCCCAATGCGTTGAGTGGGAAAGACATTTAATCCTTCACAGAGGCATCAAGTACACTGAGTTAACATAGAGAACCTAAAACATGGAGAGCAGAGGACAACACACAGCGCAGCATGACAGAGGTGCGCGCTCATGGCTTGCTCTCAGATCAGCCCATCCCACCAGCTGGCACTGCTGGTGGGCAAGCACTGTCCCATCAGGCAGCTGTCACACCCATGGTGTAAGTGACATGGTCATGTGTGGGACAGCCACACGTGCACCACCAGTGGATCAAGCCACCTGGAAGAGAGACATGCAGATTACAGTCCCATTGTGAACATGTTAAGGACACAGGAAAAGTGCTGGAAAGAAGTGAATCAAAGTTGTGGGAAAAAAAAAATTGTGCTCACTTTAGTTAAGGCTTAAGAAAGCTAGAGCCCTACTGTCATGTCCGGATGGGTTTCTCATCACTGAGCACCGTGCTGGTTCCCAGCAGGCACTTAATAAATTAACTGCAGAGTAGAAGAGGTAAGAAGGGGCTAGATTTGGACATGTCACTTATTTCCTGTATTTTTTTAATCTATAACACTTATAATAAAATTTAAAAATAATGCAAATCTTTTCTGAATAAAAGATGAAAAAGTATTCTGCAAAACACACAGAAAACAAATCAACCCATCCCATAAAAATGTATGAATATAACACAGTTTAAATCTTTGTTTTTGAAAGGAATTTTATTGGGGGCCTGCCCATTAGTGATTCACCAAAGCAGTCAGGCTCAGGAAGCTTTGGTTCGGCCCCATATCCTCAAGCTTCGCCAGACCTGCCTTGACGGCATCCTGAGCCAGCCCCCCCCCCAAAAAAAAATCAAATTGTTCTGAAAGGAATTTTATTATTCTTATCCTGCAGCTCTAGGGCTTCTACCTGAGTCCTTTCTTGCTTTCTTCTCTTACTGCCTCTGCTGCACCATGTGTTTATAATTCAAATTCTGCTCCATCTCACACTGGAGTTCTTGTCTCCAAAAGGTAATCCTGGGCAGGCAGAGCAGGGACAGCAGCAAACACAGCACCTGAATGTCCTTTCCCATGTGGGCACAAGCACGCAGGGCCCAGGCAGTGAGGCGTGAGCCCGCTGACCGACAGGCGCAGACGCCCTGGAGTGCTTTCCCTCCTTTAAGCCCCACTGCTAGGACAAGGACTTGCCTCATGCAGTCTTCCTGTTTGCCTTGGCCTTTGTCCTCCTATGAGCCTGAAAAATTGTTAGTATATTACTTTCAAGAGTGGGATAAAAATATGTTCTCTTTGCCCAAATGGATTTAATGTGGTGAAAATCATTAAGTCAATTTTTAAAAAATATTATCTTTTGCTCATATTAAGAATAGACTAGTTACAAAGTAGCTTAGTGATTTATAAATAGGGCAAAGTATTTGTTTGTTTTAAATTTTGCCTGGCTAAATTTGTACAAATGAGTTGTTCTATCAGTGCAAGAAGATTTGAGACTGGGCCATGTCTTTGAAGTGTGCTGTGTGTGTGTGGGTGTGTGCATGTGCTTGTGCATGCGTGTGAGTTTTGTGAGATGAGGCCTCCTAAACATAGCAGCTAAAGCATGGCAGAAGGAAAATAAAATGAGCAGTTTTGCGAAAGTTCTCCAGAGCAACTGGGGCGGGGGGTCAGGGGGTCTGGCTTCTTTCCATGCCTTGAGTTCTCGCTGACCGTGCTACCTAGAAGCCAACATGGAAAAAACACAGGCCAGGAAAGTAGAGGCTGAGCTCAGGGCCGCTCTACCTGGGCCAGACTGCTGGTGCCTCTTTGTAAACAGGGAGGCTTTTCTGCGGTCCAGTCCCTTGGTGCAAAATGTGTGACATGATACCCCCTCTGCCCGACTGGAGAAGGAAAGCACAGACACTGAGTTTTACATATTTATGAAATCTGCAAAGCCACAAAACCAAAGAACCTCAACACACTAGGATTAGACTTTACCCTTCTGACATCTCTAATAACAGGATACAGAACACACAAATTATGCAGATTTCAGAAACAATAAGTTCTAAAATTTTAAAACTAGTCATAACTCAGGGGCCCTATGAGACAATTGCCTCCATCTAAATCACTGCTGTAACACTCCCAATAGAATTATAAATATGAATTATGCTTCTGTGTTGGTGTTTCAGATGCCAAATTATTCTCCAAGCACTCTGAGCTGTTGCATCCCGCTTTTCCTCTGCACGTAAGCACACAGGGAAGAGAATGGAACTGTATGACTGCTATGAGCAGAGGAAGTGCTGGGAGAGAAGAAACTGCCACCGGCACAGGAGCACCTGCTAGTCTAATGACTGGATCTGTAAGGTAAAAGGCACAGGGAGTCTTTCTCACAC